ATTTCATGTAATTGTTTGAAAAAAAAAAGAAGAGTTTGGAAAGATTTTTATATGTCAGCTTGATTATAAATATTATATATATAATAATTGATTATAAATATTATATGTATATATATAATTGATTATAAATATTATATATATAATAATTGATTATAAATATTATATATATATTTATAAGACATGCATATTAGAACAATACTAATACATTTGCAAATGCAAAAAATAATAAATCTGACATGACTAATAAAATAGCCTAGCTTTTGCAGAGCCTTCTAGACCATAAGCTCCAAAATCAGCTCATGATTGCTACGTCCTTTGTCTACAGTAATTTCAGTGTCTTTCTGTATTATACCAGATGTTTCAGAAGATATTTGACTTTGGTTTGTTTATGGAGCTGCTATTGTTGACTCTGAATGGTGAAAAGTTCAAACAACTTGCAGCATGATTTTGCTTATAAAAGTTTCTTTTTTTCATATTCATTCTTTCTCGTCACCATCCGGTATATGTTTGTTTTTTTCAGACTGAAATCTATATGCCAAGCACTGCACAAATACTTACAATCTTAAGCCATTTTTAAAAATTAAATGAAACTATTAAAAACAGAGATATATCATACATGGTTATTAAACTGGGTAAAGATCATCAGTGAAATGACTACTGGCCTGAGTTGAAACTACTTTTTTAAACTTTCCATAATGGTTTGACATCCTGTTGCTATAATAAAAGCAACAGAGGCCCTGATTCTTTGGGAAATATGCCAGTCTCCTGATGGGCCAGTTTGCTTCTAGTAGATAACAAAAAGGACCTAGGACTAGACTATTTCACTGTACATGAGATTATGGAGGGTGATAATTTTAGTTGCTGGTACCATGAGCATTCTTGTTATGTAGTTCCTATAGGAATGAATGATATTGTAAATTGGTAAAGCTGCTTAGAAAGTATAAAGAACTCCTTCAGAGGTTTAGGGGAAATAAATAAATGTGTGTTCCTTTTGGGGGTGTACTATTAAGCTAGGTGCAAAAATGTACTTAGCATTTTTTAATTGAAAAATTATCAAGGATCTGCCTAGAGCAGCAGTTGGGCTGGTTTAAATTGTGGTACAGTTTGCAGGATAAGACTAAACTGTGAGATAGAGATAAGCTCCACTTAAATAGGCTAAGTAGTAGGGTATTTAGGAACCTCTGAAGAATTTCATTATAGACAGTTTAAACTAAATTTATATAGTAGTGAGGGAATATGGGAAACAGGAAGAAAGAAAATTGATAAGATAGGAGAAGAGGAGATTGGAAAAGAGAATTTTGAGTATGAAAAGTTAAATAATAATTTTAAAGATAAGTCTTCCAGACGTAAAGATGAATGTAGAAGATTCAAGAATAAGCTTAATAGCTGTTATTCTAATTTAAGGAATATTAGGAATAAAATGGACAAGTTTCAGGGTTGAATTTAAAATGAAAAGTTGTGATATAATGGGACTTACTTAAGTTTAATTAAATTTGGAGAGCATATTTTAAAATTCCAAGTTATAAGTTATTTAATAGAGAGTTTTTGAAAGAGAATATGAAATGGTTCTCTATGAAAGAGATGAGCTGCAGCTTGTTGGGCCCGAAGACAAAAAAAGAATATTCACTAGGTTGAACCTATATGGTTTGCAATTAGAAATTGCTTATGTACAGTACCAGGATAGAGGGCACATTGACGTAGATGGTGAGTGTCATGAGACAGATATTGCCACGAGCAATTAAGTGGGGAATAAAAGACTGGAGCAAAGGAGTAAAAATCAGACCAGTGCTTAGATGGGCAAAGGAAGAAACCCTGGAAGTTGAGTAATAGCTAGTAAAGTGAGAAGAGGTAAGTATTATTAGAAATACATTTTCAATATAAGAAAATGTAAACTTTCCCAAAATTCTCCATTGAACCAGGATAACAGAAAGTGCACATACCATCCACCCTAGCTCTATATGTGCCCTCTGTTAAGATGAGGTGTTCTGCAAGACAATTTGAGGTATCTTCATGGTATATTCTGATATCTGTCTACTGTCTGATCGATACCTTACCTATTCCTTTGATTATCATGGAAAAAGTCAGCACTATGGTATGCTGTGTCTGCTTCCCTGGTGTGTGCTAGCTGGCTTTTCAAAATAGGTTTATGAGGTCACCTGTTGCACTGTCTCCAGAAAAAGACCTTTCTGGCTGAAACAGGACTGATGGGGATCCAGGCATTTTCTCCGAGTTTCTCCACCACAAATTCCTTCCCTCTTTTTTCTTTGTGTAGAGCAATAGAGACCTTTACTGCTTACCAGTTACTAGCTGCTAGGGTGACGAACTATGGAGAACCCTCACAGTTTGGGACCTAACAGTTGGGGCTAAACAAGGGGTGCCAGTCAGTGGGAATTGGTGCAGTGGTGACACTATCAATGTAGCACAG